ACCCCTACTCATGCGTGGGTTTCGGCAGTTATATTCTCTGTATTCATGCGTGAATCACCCCCGGCGGCAACTCTCGTAGGTAGCCCTTGTTGAAAAACAGAACAAGTCCACCAACTCCGGCCGCCACGCGCTATTCATGTGTATGGTGTCGGCATTTACACTCTCTGTATTCATGCGTGAATCGCCCACCGGCGACAACCCTAATATGTAGCTCTGTTGACAAACAAGCCCACCAATCACGGCCGCCACACACTTCTCATGTGTGTGGTTCCGACATTCACACACTTCTGTATTCATGCGTTAATTGCCCACAGGCAACAACCCTGGTAGGTAGCGCTGTTGACAAACAAGCCCACCAACGACGGCCGCCGCACACTTTTCATGTGTGTGGTTCCGTGTTCTGTATTCATTCGTGAATCGCCACACAGGCAACAACCCTGGTAAGTAGCGCTGTTGCGAAAACAAGCCCTCCAACCACGGCCGCCACACACTTGTTGTGTGTGTGGTTCCGGCATTCACACACTCTGTATTCATGCGTGAATTGCCCCACAGGCAACAACCCTGGTAAGTAGCCCACCGACCACGGCCGCCACGCACTATGTATGTGTGTGGTTCCCGCATTTACACTTTCTGTATTCATGCGTGAATTGCCCCACAGGCAACAACCCCGGTAACTAGCGCTGTTGACAAACAAGCCCACCGATCAAGGCCGCCACACACTTTTCATGTGTGTGGTTCCGGTATTTACACTCTCTTTGTATTTATGCGGGAATCACTCACAGGCAACAACCCTGGAAAGTAGCGCTGTTGCGAAAACAAGCCCCCCAACCACGGCCGCTACACACACGATTTATTATGAGTGAGGTTCCGGCATTTACAATTTCTGTATTCATGCGTGAATCGCCACAGAGGCAACAACCGTGGCAAGTAGCGCTCTTGCGAAAACCCGCCCACCAACCACGGCCGCCACACACTATTTATGTGTGTGGTTCCGGTATGCATACACTCTGTATTCATGCGTCAATCGCCACACAGGAAACAACCCGGGTAAGTAACGCTGTTGCGAAAACAAGCCGACCACCACGGCCGCCACACACTATTTATGTGTGTGGTTCCGGCATTTACACTTTCTGTATTCATGCGTGAATCGCCACACAGGCAACAACCCTGGTAAGTAGCGCATTATTTATGTGTGTGGTTCCGGCATTTACACTCTATATTCATGCGTGAATCGCCACACAGGCAACAACCCTGGTAAGTAGCGCATTATTTTATGTGTGTGGTTCCGGCATTTACACCCTCTATATTCATGCGTGAATCGCCACACAGGCAACAACCCTGGTAAGTAGCGCTGTTGCGAAACAAGGCCACCAACCACGGCCGCCACACACTATTTATGTGTGTGGTTCCGGCATTCGTACTCTCTGATTTCATGCGTGAATCGCCACACAAGCAACAACCCTGGTAAGTAGCGCTGTTGCGAAAACAAGCCGACCACCACGGCCGCCACACACTATTTATGTGTGTGGTTCCGGAATTTAATACTTGTTGTATGCATGCTCATGATCATACCACGATCGACTGATCAACAACGTGCTGACGTCAAGGTATGCTTGGTGCGGTCCAGCAACTTTCTCAGTACAATTGTATGTACTCTGGGAGGACTTCAACTGATTCCGTCGAATGGGGCCTCGATTCTCACGGCAAGTCTCCAACAATTTCTTGTAACTTTGTAAGTATTGTCCACATACTTCGCTGGCAATTGCACAATCTCTGGCTTTTATCGACTGCAGCGTAAATCTGAATCCAGATTATCCCCTGTGATACACACTCGTGTAAGGACACCCTATGTGATTCAAAACGACTGCAACGCATATCTGAGGCCAGATTAGTCCATGTGATACACTCGTCTACAGCACACCATGTGATCCAGCATTCGTGTATGTACTTCCATCGCGTATCGACACCAAACAACAATAGTTTGTGGGTATTGTCTTGCTTGGCTGTGGCCACCACATACTCGTTAGATACGGAGCCGGTACAATTGAAACCACGTTCAACATGGTGCACGTAACGCCACAGAATCCACAGTTAATTTTCTCTCCCGCATCGATGCGGAACAACTGCTGTACTTGCGAGTGTATGCATACGTGATCCACATGACTGCGTGCTCTTCGTACGGCGGCTACAACCGTGACAGCCAGCGCTGTCGAAGCAGGCCCGCCAACCTCGGCCACCAAACCCGGTTGATTTGTTTAGTCATTGAATCACGTGCGACATGGGTGACTGGGTACGCCACCGAATCAACCCAGCAGCAGCGGGATCTCTCTCCCCCTCCCCATGCAAACGTGCAGAACACTCCGTTGGGGTTGTGTCTCTCCTTGACACACCAAAACACATTGTGGGTTTTGCTCTCTTCCCACATCATCCCACGTTGTCATCACATCACCACACGTACCGCTCAGTGTTGCGCCCTAGATGCCACGCCTGCCGGCGCCTGGCGTCCTTGCTCTCCTCTCCGCTCTCGTCACATCTCGGGACCCCGGGTTCTCAGTTACGACTGCTGTAGCTCGGGTAGCCCGATTTACCAACTGGAAGAGGAGGCAAGAAAATAGTCCACTTCCTGTCAGCTCCAGAGGCTGGCACACCACTAGAAGCCTTCTATGTGACCACCTCGCTAGTTGTCTCTGCGATACTCTCTCTCTGGCACGCTAAGACTCTGTGGACACAAGGCTTGAACAGAATGGTAACACATGCGACTCATCTCGACCGAGGGGGCCCCGCAGTACGCAATACGTTCCGGGTACCCCAATATAAACAGTATGGCAATTCGAGTTGTTTCACTAAACCTCGGTTTGTTTTGTCTACGCCTTTGTCTACGCCTTAAACAAACCTGCCCTTTCTTCACGACAAACCCATGAGAATAAAATGCGCCGGAATTTGCACGCCGATTCATCCGTGCAGCCTTGGCGCTCTTCAGACTGGGAGTCGGGTGCTGCTTCATCGTGCTCGGAACCTGCGCATTAGCTCGCTTCTACCGGTTGAAGCAGATATTGGATATTCGCACGAGGTATGTAGGCTTGGCCTGTGTCGGAATAGGCGCCCCTAACCGGGACGGCTCTGTAGTCTCACTTCTTGAGAGTCACTACCCTTTTAGTATTCTCGTGCATCGAATAAAAAAGGAGCAGGCTCATGCATGCGAGAGACAAACTTCTCCATATACATACAAGGTGTCCCTCCGGAGTGGGGTAAAGAGAGCACCGCGGCAAGGGGTGATGCAAGTACATGCAAATTTGTAAACGCTACCAGCAGAGAAACGACAGCAGTAAATACGTACGTATGCATGCATAGATAGCTTCGTATCAAAGGATTCGCGGCAGGTCGGCGCGAGCTCATAACATTTTCAACTTTTGGACGGTTTTCTGGATTTAGTTTGGTTGAAAGCCCGCAGCCGCGCGGATGGATTTGTATATGTGCATGCCGACCTCCCGACCTCTGGCTCTGCAGTCTGCACGGAGATGTGTGCACCGCTCTGCATCTCTGCTGACACCGCCACGAGCTTTTTCGTCGATAATCTAATATACATGCCCCGACTTGCCGTGTAGAGTACCATCACCGGGCGTTGCGCTCCTTCTACCGCCATAAGGCCCTGCTTCGACCATCGCAAGCGGAGTGCATTGTAGTCTCTCGTTGAGAGCACAGCAGCTCTTGCCCAAACCAACTTGTTGCCCCCCTGTCGGGGCCAGAAACTGGAATGGAATTAAATACGATTTGAATGTAGATTGTTCAAAATTATAAAATTATGGTCATAATTGCACAGGATCACAGGTACCACAAAATGTATGTGACAAATATGAATGGTTCCCGACTGGACACACAGCGTGGGGGGTCTTGGTTAATATAGAGAAGCCGTTCCCTGCTTGACGAAATTTCGGGTCCTGTACTGAGATAGCAATAGCTCGTGGTGCTGCTGCACCCCTCCGTACAATAAAGCGGTTACAGGACCGCAATATATCCTGCCCCCAAATAATGCGGTTGTTGCAGCTGTTTTCGGCGAGCAATACGGGTCATCGGTTCAAAGGTTACGGAGGCTCCGCTCGTGCTTACGGGCACGCCGGGTATGTGCAAAGCTCTTGTGCATCTTTCAGAGAGGACTTCTAGAACAGAAGGTTGTGTTTCATATTCTTTTTAGTGCGGCGCGTTTTGTTGGGATCTTTGCCCCGTTTCAGGGACCTTGATTTGACTCGCTCGCACCGGCGTATTTTCCTTGATCAGAGCCGGCTAGCGCGGTCGACTATGTGACTACAGGCCCGATTCAGTTCTGTTTTCATTTTCGTTTTCAGTTCCGATAACTTTCACCGCCGAAAGATCGCCGGGGTGCCTCGCCACAATAACACACGTATCTAGAGACCAGCAGAGAGACACAAAAAGGTAGCCCACCCTAAAGCGTAATAGCAACGTGGCACACGCATATACCTGTCTTTTCTCTCTGACGTGGGGCAGATGCCCGTTCGAGAACCAATGAAATCCCTATTGGACTACGCTGTAGGATCCAAACGGAAAGTACCACGGTGGGCACATGAGCACCCTTCAAACATGTGATCAATCCGGTCCCGCGTGCGCGAGAGAGAGCAGAGACAAGCAGGCCAGAGCCGATGGGAGTAAGCGATATTACTGCCTGGGTGCTTGCTGGTGTTGTGAAAAGAGAGCCAAATCAACCCAGTCATGTAGAGGGTTTATCTAAGCTATGTCACACAAACGCACAGCAAAAGGCTGCAAATGAGACAAGACGCGTGGCCCCACCAAGATGAGCCTTTCAAGGCTGCTCTTGTTTGGCAACCTCGACGCTTTTTCGGGGACACCGACTGCTAGAGAGACTCCCGAGATATTTAGGGTTTTAGGACCTCCGAGGGACTTCAGCGGAATTGCGCGGAACCTCCAAAACGCGGGATCCCCCACTGCATCATATACGTACCACAAATAGGTCTGCGTATCTGGTCATGGTCGGGGGCGTGGCCGGTATCCTGACGATGCTCGTCACCGTGAACGATGCCACCACCGTCATCTGGGACACCGGGTTCGACTGGTTCTGGACATCTCTGTTGCTCTTCTTCATCTCGCCCGCGCTGTTCGGGAGCTACATCTGCCGCGCGCTCCGCCTGGCCGTGGTTTTTCACCCAAGGGTGAAGCGTGCCCTGCCGTGGCTCGTCCCGGTACGAACGAGTCTTCCAAGTCGTTTGTGGTTTCTTTGTGCGGTGGCTTTGAGTCTTTTTGTGTGTTAGTTGTACGAGAACGTGTTGCGTGTTCTTCAAGAGCGTGTTTTTGGCATCTCATCTCTATTGCTTCCCTTCCAATGAGAAAACTGATACTCTGTGCAAGATAGTCTGCATTCGTCAGGGTCTATTCACTCGGTTAGCGTCGATAACAGATGCCCTCAACCGTGATATTACTCTCTCTCTGTCTCACGACGTCCTGAGATCAGCACATGATTCGTACGCTTCGCTACACACTACCCCCCGTGTTGGCTCTTTTGGTATGGAGCTGTGAAATTGCATTTTAGGGGGCATGGGGGTTGTTCATGCGGTGTATCCTGTGAGCGTGTTGGCTTCGATCCTACCGTAGTCCATACCGTTTAGGATGTCCGCTGAACACTGTATTGTTGGAATGCCCTAAACAATGCAATTCTATGTTTCTGAACTACTCCATCTGGTACTTTTCCACCTGGGGTATGTAAGAAGACTGTACTCCAAGTGTGCCACACACGGATCGACCGACGTGTTCGCTGTGCGTGGCGCGCCTGCATTGTACGAGCGCGCAAGATCAAAGTCTCTAGCGGTACTTGAAGTATGGCTGTGCCTGCCGAACGTCAAACGGTTGGTTAGCCGGGAATCCCCATCGACCCATGGCATGTCTAGCTTGGTACAGCAATCGCAAGGATCGTGACCAGCTTCTGGTTCATCGTTGTAAAACGTAGCCTGGGCAGACGAGAACCCGGCATTTCGCTCCGTCCCGGTATTTTAGGGGTGCGAGGTCAGTGGTGTAACGACTACGACATGCCTTTGCATGAGTCCCTCCCCCCCCGCCCGATATTTCTGCTGTGGTCTATCCATGTACTCGCCGACGACAGGAGCGCAACTACATGGTGGTGCTGCTGGTTTCCAGCGTGGGAATGTTGGCAATCCCCATCTATCACGAGCACACCTTGGGGGTTTGGTGAGACGGAGCACAATACGAAACGAGAAAACAACCCCGGCCATGCTGCTGCACATGACGTTGCACACGTAGAGAGTGAGAACTCACTCCATGTTCGTACGCGGCTCCAGAGGTTCCTTGATGTGACGACGACGGCCTTCGTCGCTTGGTTTCTAGATGGGCACCACGAATCTCCTCTACAATGATTGTGCTGCAGTACGCCTACTCTCTGCCCATTGTGCCTTAGTGGGTGTTTCGGTACATGAGGTACAGCCCATCGCTCGTGCCTTGAATGGTTGTTGCCGGTTGTCTTCCCCACCGCGTTTGCCCCCGTTCCTTGCCCAGGGACGCAATTTCGAAGCAGACCACTATCCTGAAGATTGAGGCCCGTGTGCTGGCGGTGGCGCTGGCTTGCATTTACCCGTTCATCAGGAACGTTGACGATCTCTTCAGCATCAGCACGGAGCTCATCATTGTCACTGCGACCATTGGGCTCATCACAAGTGAGGCCCACGGAAGCCGATGTGGACAGCCTCGTCCACACAGTAGCACCCCCCGTGTATTTTTGCTATTCCTAACCCGAAGTGCAAGTGTGGTTCGTTAATAGCACCAGTTCCGTCTCCTTGTCATCCTTGTTGTCGAGACCTAGCCTTACAGCACGGCGCGATTCTCAGATATTAGATCAAATGAGACCATCTGACCAGTCAACGTTGACTGGTCAGATGGTCAAATTTTATCTAATAAAAGATATGCTCAGAGCTCGTTAGCACCCGGCTGGGACACATGGGATTGGTGAGTGAGTAGGGATCTTCGGGGCTGGACCCCTCGCCAGACGCTGATCGGTACATAAATGGTGATTATTTTTGTAAGTGGACCACTGGGATAGCGTGACTGCGCGGCACGCGCTAACGCGAAAGTCGTGGTATCGTGACCTCTTGCTCTTGGACGCCTGAGTGTCCGTACGGCGTATGCATAGTGCACGGCGAATTTTGCAAACACGTACCAACAGTGACTTCATCAAGCGTTGTCCCCAACTTCCAAAATGCGCAGCATCGTTGCCCCGCTGCGACGCCTAGCGTCGGATCCTTTCGCAGCAACCAGGCGCAACTACGCCAATCGGGTACTGCCTGACCACACGGAACCCCACAGGTAAGCGACCGCGCAAGAAGGGCAGGAGATTACAATAGTGATGGCAAGAGAGCAGGCAGGCACGGACGCACAGCACCCTGCGCCACTGAGGTTTTGCGGCGGCGTTATAGTCGTGGGTCTAAAGGCGCTACGTAGGTCTGTGGGTACAGCCGGCCGGCGTTTTGTCGGTGGTTCTCCGTTGTGGCTGTTGAGTTCTGGTGTTTTGGGATATCACAGATTTGCTGTTCTCGTTCTGGCGTGTAATCCCCTTCATCGTTCGCGGCTTTTGGACAATACTCATAGCTCAAGGTTTGATAACCCCCCACCCGCGTATCAGTACGTAGGTAGGTTACAGTTGTTGCGTTTGTCAAGGCAAGGGAGAGTCGAACCCTAGATCGAGGAGGGTTATTCTACGAGGACACGTGGGGTCTACATTCGGAATTGGTGGTAGGGGAGGTAGAGGGGTGATGTGGTAGCCTGTCCACGCCGTCGTTGGGGGACAGACAGATGGAGGCTGCGATCGTCTGACGGATACGCAAGAGGTCGGGTCATCATCAATGTTCTTCTTCGGCAGCACAAGCTTGTAGCGCGTTTCCGAAGGTATCTGCGCCTCTCGGTCGTTCGAGTAGGTGCAGTTGCAGTTTTCCGCCTCCAAAGAAAAGCGTGGACATTACCAATCCATTCACACAGACACTCAAGCGTATGAGCGCATCCCCTTCCCCCTTCATGAATTCGCTAGCAGCACGGCGAGAAGAGCGTCGGGGTTTTCGTCAGGATTGGACTGCGACTCGTCAATGATGTGTAGCGAAAGCGAAGATGAAACCACGCTCGAGGAAGGGAAGCTTGGAGAGGCCCCAGCCAAGGGCATAACAACAACAGAACGGCGAAGCGGTAGCGCTGGCTATGTCGCCGCCTCGGCCGCCATCGGCAGGGGTGTGATAACCACATCCAGCGCCGACGCCACCGGTGCTGTTGCTCCCCGCACGTGGACCGACCGGGAACCAACAAATTCCTCCGTCGTGACGACTGCAACATGGTTCGTATCCAACGACAACAGCATCGGAGGCAACAGACTTGATGCTGTCCGGAGGGGGCAAACGGAGAGAGGTGACGACCGCGGCCGCGATGGCGGTCGTCGAAGTCGCTCGCATAAGCAGGACATAGACTTGTGGGACTTCGAGCGGATTGTGAGGACACCCCTGCTGGCCGTCGCGTTCGAGGACTATTCCAAGAGGGCGCTTTGCCACGAGTCATTCCTCTTTCTGAGCGAGGTTTCTCGGTGAGTAAAGTCGGGGGGGCGGGGGGCGGGGGGGGAGAGATGGACATAGAAATAAAGACAATAAGGATGGTGTGGTGGGAGTTATAGTGTTCTGATGCCGTGCGCATGTTGGTTCCCTCATCTTGTTTGTAGCCTTGCTTTCGGACACTATCGTGTGCATTGGACGTCTTGGTACGCTGCGGCCAGCGAACGATATCACCAGTCCTGCTGTGTGATACGAAAGTTTTCCGGGCACCCCGCGGACCCTTGCGTTTCGAAGGCGTTTCGGTGTCTTCTTCGAGTGTTCCCAGCGGTCTGCGCGGTCGTGAATGCCTTCGTAATCGGCTTGAGTCACTATATGAAACCCGTTTAGGTCGCTGCGGAGTTCTCTTCCACGCCTAACGCTTCATGCCCAGGAATGTTGTCCCTGCATGCCGAGAAGATGTGGATGAGCATTCTCTTGAAACCGCGGTCGCGAGAGTAGAGTTTATTCGGGGGAAGATTGGAGCGGCCGTTCCGACTATGCTACTGGGGTGTGGTCCTGTTCAGCGGGCTGCGTACTGTACTGAGCTCTGCGTACTGTATTCAGCTCTGCGTACTCAGCTCTGTATCATGGTGGTTGCCTGCATCACTTTCCTGCCGCTGAGATCAGAACGGGCTGTTTGAAAGCGTGTGAAGGGGCAAAACGTATTTCGTCGTGATGAAACGGCGAAGCCCTCCTCACCGGCAGAAGGCCCGTCTCACCGGCATGCGGCCCGGCTGCGCGCTGAGGGACACTTCTTTGTAGCCGCCTTGCCATCGCTTCCCCGTCACGCTATTTACCTCGTGTGGACAGACGCATGCTAAGCGCGACGCGGGATCGAGCGCATGTCCTGGTTCTGTATAGAGGCTTGTGCTTTTCAAGCATCAGGCTCATGGAACACCTGCTTTGTCGATATTTTTCTTGTTGCGTACAACTCCGCAAGAAGGTTCTCCGAAAAATCTCCTTTCGCCTGCTGATATATTGTCATCTTTGTCAGCGTTGTTGGTAGTTTTCCATATTGGAGCCAACGAAAACACGGCATCGAGCTATTTCTACAACCAAGTCTACTTTGAGGGAAAATTCGACCCCGACGTACAATGTACTCTCGGTCAATCGACGCCCGAAACCCTGTTTCTCTCTTTTCTCGCGTCAGGTATCAGAACGGCGACTATGCCACGACGAAAAGAGCATCTTCGGGGTCATCATTTCCGACTCAGTTCGGCACGTTCTGCTACATCACGGACACCTTCATCAAGGCCGGCTCACACGAGGAAGTAAACATTAGGTGAGCTGCAACAGGGAAGACGAGCACGACTCAAAACACGTTGACGTGGATGTTTGTATTCGTGTTTGCGAACGCCACCAAACCTTCATCTGGTCGGACGTGATGCTATTGTCGCGGCGGCGATTGCATTCAAGCCAGTTCGGAAACGGCGTCTATTTTCAGGGGGTTATAGGCTGGGTGCGAATTGGTCCAGCACACCATGCGGTGTAGTGCTCTGTTATGAGCTAGGTACAATAATTTGATCTTCCGCGTTAACCAACATGAACGTGAAGCGAAGGGCCACGCCAGCTCAAGATCCGGTCACAAACCTCATATTAGTTCGACATGGGCACAACGTTTTTTTTCCAGGCTGTCTTTGAGACGCCATCATTTCCTAAACATCTACCCGAACGATGTTCCGGGTGGTTCATATCTTGGAGCTCCTTTACCGAATTCCCCCTGCTGGCTGTTCTGCTGCCTGACTTCGTGACAGAGGCCCCCGTTCGGTGCTTCCATGCTTTCCCCGTTGTTTTGTCGTACTTCAGCGACAAGGAAAGAAAGCTTATCCTCGCGTTGTACCACAAGGGCGAAGAGCTCTTCGAGGACGTCAACGTCGAGGAGAGAAGGTAAACGGGAAAGAGACATGACAGGAGAAAGCGCGTGTTGACACAGTTTTTATCGTTTCCGACGCTTGTACATACTCGCGTGCTTTTCCTTGGTCGTGAAAGAAAATTGGTATGTCATTATCGATCTCATTAGCGCTATCTCACTTTCCCGGACATTTCGAGTTAAAGAGAGTGTTTTTCGAGCATCAAACCACGTTCATGTTTTCCGGCAAAAATTTCTTGTTCTCCAGCACTGGGACCCACTCGCAAGCACTTGGATGGTGCGTGTGAAGGAGATTCTGTTGGATATGGTGGCGCCGCCGATCCCCTCCACCCAGGGTTAACGTAGGTCCGTGTGCTCGTTTTGACAGGGGTGGGTGTAACGACCATGTCCAGGCAAGGCGGCAGAGCTGAAACACCCCACCTCCCCCGTTAACCACAGCCTAAACCCCTCAAAATGACGGCTTTTCAGGATGATTTTCAGACGAGCGTATCTGGCGGTGAAGCGTATGCTGGAAGCCAATCTCCTCCTCCGCTTTCTGAACACGGACCGCTTCAAGAGCTTGGAGATGCAGAAGGAGAACACCCAGGTTATGGTGGACTCCCCGCCCCAGGCGCGAGTAGTAGTTTCTTAGGCGTGATCTTTATATCTAGACGAGCTCAATGATTACGCGGGCTGGATTCCTTTGCGGGTTAGGATGGCACGGTAGGTTTGTCGGAGTACGGTTACTTTTTGCAGATGTGGGGACAAATTCAAGCGGAACGCACTTCGAGCGGACCAGTATCACCGCCGAAAATATTTTCGTGAAGCGTGAAAAGGCAGGGGGTGGCGAGTGGGTTTTCCAGCTTGCGGGTAGATTGATGCGAGGGGATTGAATAGTTGATATTGACGCCATCCTCCCAGGCCTTCCTTCAGACGCCCGGGTCAACGCCAATCGACAGTGCAATAAACCACTCACATTGTCGGGTGTGTGTGCTGAGGACTTGGTTGATTTTAAGAGAGGCCGCGCGAGAGAGAGGGGGGCAAGAGAGAGAGAGAGAGAGAGAGAGAGAGAGAGAGAGAGAGAGAGAGAGAGAGGGGGGGGGGGGGGGG